AAGTAACAAACGTGTAACGGCACTCACCCAGGAGAATTATAGTGGGTTGAGGCTGACAATTTATTGCTGCTGATAAGAAGGTGTGAGTGAGCTGCCGCCCCTCTAGGCTACAGCTCAATGAACAAAACAATCTTTTTCTATGTCTTCACAGAGCTGGCATGGCTGGCAATATTCTTTGTATTTAATTAACTTTCAGTTAGTATTTCTCAGGGGTAGATAGAAATGAAAATTCTAAAGTTTTCTTATAAGATATGAATAATTCCTGGCAAATACTTTTAAACAGTAAGAAGAAAAAGAACATAACTTCAGTATTTCATAACTTTTGTTGTCAGTTCAGTATTTGTCTGCCTTCTCAAATCAGACCCACAGCTGTTTGATGATGACTCGCAATGTACAAGGCACCCACTATGTACGGTTCTGATGGGACCTTCTCAATTTAAAACTCTGCCTCTTCCAGGTCAAACACCTGCTTCCTCCATGTTTTCTCACAATGATGCTAACTGGCATGCCTCTCTCTTTAAGGGTCACAATAGCACCAGGGACAATTTGGAATTTCAGTGGCCACTTTGGGGAGTTCTTGATAAGAAAGAGATTATTAAATTGACATTAGCTTAGAACAGAAAGCAAAGATGCTTTCATGAGGAAGCTCTCTCGTTTGCCTAAAAGATTACTTTGTTTAGGAAAGGAGACACACCCTTCTCTGCTGATTTTTGCTGCTATTGCTGTTTCTTTTTTTAATTCAGGGATTATTAAATGATGGCTTTTTAATTGTAATTAAATTGTGATGAAATTGTCAAGAGCCCAGGCTATGTCTAAATCAGCTGTACATCATTCTCTTTTGTGTGTATGTATGTCGATCTTTTTACAGAGGAAACATAATTGCTTTTGTATATTAATCTTCTATCTTGCAACCTTGCTATAATCACCTAGTAGTTCCAGCAGTCTTTGTTGCTGTTATTGTTGATTGTTTTATTTTTTCCCTACATAGACAATCATGTCATATAATTACTTTTTACAGCAATAATTTCATATTTTTTATGAAGTTGACTCCCTCTCATTTGTTTTCTATTCCTCTTACTCCTTTTTCTACTCTCTCAGGAAACATTCAAGATTAACTGATTATAAAAAGTCAGTTAAGTGCTTACTCAAATATTTAGTCCAGATAAATAGTCTAAAATGTCCCAAAGGAAAAATTAGTTACTAAGCTGTGTTTCTCTTTGTGTTTTGTTTTGTGTTTCTCTTTATGTATTTCGTGTTTCTATTTATGTATATTTATATAGTAGCCTGTTACTATAGTTATAAGAAAAAGCTTTAGTTCTAAGATAAAAGATGTACTTTAGTATGATTCAAAGGCTTTAAAAAATTAGTTTACTGTATAAGAATAATGTCACCACCATAAATTTCTCAAGATTTCACCTTCCTAAATATCCTGCATTAGTTTGCTGAATTAAGTAGAATGTCACTGTTTTCATAGCTTGTTTAAAATTTTTAATTATATGTATTAAATTGTAATCAACTAAATGGAATGATAATGATGAATAACTTTTTAAAGGTTTAACTGTAGGAAATTCTTACAATCCTACAAATCATATGATTTAAGGTGTTAACTAAAATTAGTAATTTTTAGATACTTAACTAAATTTAGATCTTAGACTCATGATTAATAAGTAATCTTTGGAAGCCCATAAAATTTCTAAACAAGGCACAGACACAAACATTGGTTAGTTGAACCTAATTTTAATTTACTCTTATTTCTAAAATGGCAATAGATTAACAAAATATGCAAATAATTTTGATGACTTTATATATGTTTATTTTTACCTTCTTAAATAAGTGTTCATGTAAAAGAATAGCTAAACAGTTTCACAATTTTTTGTTCCCTGGTTTTCTCTTGTGTTTGGAGAGAAAAAAATTGCTTTTTCCCCCTAAATAATTACTTTTTTTTTTTTTTTTTTTTGCGGTACGCCGGCCTTTTACTGTTGCGGCCTCCCACGTTGCGGAGCACAGACTCCAGGCGCGCAGGCTCAGCAGCCATGGCTCACGGGCCCAGCCGCTCCGCGGCATGTGGGATCTTCCCGGACCAGGGCATGAACCCGTGTCCCCTGAATTGGCAGGCAGACTCTCAACCACTGCGCCACCAGGGAAGCCCCTAAATAATTACTTTGATTAAAGATAATCTGTATAAATGATTATTTAAAGTAGGTAGAGTAGCTATAGAAATATACAAATGTGTATACAAATCAATGGATTTTTTTCTAATTTTTTATTTTGAAACATAAGATACACTTGCGCTATGCGTGTTACACTGCATTATATATTATATTATACTGTACATAATATTAAATAATATACTAAACTTCCAAGGCCCAAAATTCTGTCATTAGCCTTCACGGTATTCAGACGAATCCTTTCTAGGATGCACAAGTTATCTCCTTTGTTAAGAGAATTTCTCAGGCTTTTAGGAATTACTTTCAGTTGTAGACTCTGCCCCTTTTAAGCTGAGATGACTAATTAATGCAGTAGACTTATATGATACCTAAGGTTTTGTCACCAATAGGTAGAAGCTGCCTTTCTAAAACATCCATCTAAGTAGCAATCTTAAAAGCTACAGCATACCCTATGTTGAGGGTAACTCAACATCTCATCCTCCGATAGAAGCAAAATGATGGATTAGCCCTTGTACAAGGATTGACTATGTTCTCTGGACACCCCTCTTATCATGATCAACAACATCTTGGCAATGGAGAAAATCTTAATATCATGGATTAATATCCCATGGTCTGTCTTTTTCTTTCCTTGGTCAAAAAGGAGGACTGAAAAAGAAAAGTGGGACCTGACAGCTGAAACCTGGCCTGGAACTATCCATCTCTGGTGTTGCTAGGAGCTGGCCCGGCACTCACAGCTAGGCATCAGTGTTTACCTGTTAGATGTAAGCAATTCCACTGAACACCCATATTAGATCAGGTCACTTCTGCGACCATGAGGGATCAAGACAAAAGCAAGAGCACTTCATAATCATGTCTGAACACAAACAAAACATGAACATTTTTTAAAACCACAAAATTATCAAGCATTTCCCTATCATGACCAATATATGTAACCACTGATACTTTAGCAATTACAGCTTTAACGTCAGTCTGTATTTTCCTCCTTCTGGTTGAGATCTTTTAAGATTGTCAGTCAGAATTACTTCTATTTCAAGTCAGTATCAAATCCAAAACAAAGACTTGCTTTCCTAAGTACTCCCCCAAAGCACCTAAGACAAACCCCAATGTGATATATATAGTTAGTCCTAACACTTCAACATGCCCCATGGTGAGTTTTCTTCCTCTTTGAAATAGCAATAAACCCAGCTTCAAATAGCAGTAAACCCAACTTCAACACAGGTGTGTTCTTGGTGGTCATCAGGTAGAGGACACTGACAGTCAATCAATAAAATGCAGTTCCTGATTTAAGACATGTCCTATCCAATGTGGAAAAAGGTGACTATTTATCAACATTTATTATATAAAGTTATATAAAATGGTAAGTTAAAAGCAGCACTACTGAACTCAGGGACCAATAGGATATGTGAATTGAAGATAGAGAGGACCAAAAACTGACTCTAGCATGAAGTCTGAGGAAGATATAAATTCCTATTTGGATCTGTTAAGATTGCTGTATATTGGCATATTCAGATGGGAATATGAAAAGACTTCTGGAATACAGATTTGGAATTTAGAAGAGGAGTCTATTCTGAAGAAAGAGATATGTATGGAGGTCAGAAATGAAGATGGAGCTTCTCGTGAAGAGACAGTAAAATAAGTAGAAAGTTGAGGACTGAAATCCTGAATTTTGGAGAATCCCATCAGTTAAGGGGCAGACAGAAGTGAAAGAGAATGTTCAGAGAGATGAGGTGACAGCTAGCAGATAAAAGGGTACCCAGAACAGTTTATGGAGTGTGGTAAACACAGAGTACATTTTTTCTCTGAATGAATACACAAAAGTTATAATTTCCAATTACAATTTTACCTCTCAAAATATCAATATTTCTCCACTTTTGGTAAAATTTCCTTTATTGTGATTTTTCTGCTACCTTTGGTTAATCTAAAAATCTTGCCTTGATCAATGTCTGACTCAGACTTCCCCTCTTTGAGAAACAGTGGCAAAGCAAGTACACTCAATCCTATTTATATTTTTTAAATTACTTGCCTGCATTGTACTGCCTGAGTAGTCAAGAGGCCCCAGAATATTTGAAATACATAAACAAAGAAACAGGAAATAGTTAACGGCTGCTTCTGCAGCAGCTCGGTAAATTAGAATAATCAAATGCATCTTGGAGTAAACTCATGTGCACGTAGCTGTAAACAGTAATCTCCATTCTTTTAAAAGTACAAATCATTTATTACAACAATTCATAATCATTCTCATTTCAAGTTCTAGATGAGAATAAGTCATAATGAGAGAATTTGTACTTTCTAATTAGAGTTGATTTTTTTTTAAAGCAGAGAAATGAAATGGTGAATTACTACAAAGGAGAGGAAGTCTACAGTCAATTAACTGAAGAAAAAGAAAGAGAACTTAAAACCTGTCCAAATCAAATGAGATAAAAAGTTTCAGTCACTCAGGGAAATCCACAAAGCACATATCCTTTCTCCCAGAATCCCGTAGAATTTTGTATAGTAGAGGTAAGACAGTACCGTGAGTTGCTGTGGAAGAAGAATTTGGTGGGTTGGCCATGCTTTGAAAAGGCCTCCATTCTGGGTGTGTGCCAGGTTTCCCCGAGCACTCAGTGCACACAATTACTGCATTTGCATGTGTAAATTGGGTAATGGCGTGCCTAGCTATCAGATTCGTATGTGAAAATGCTATCAGCATATGCACTATTGGTTGTGTGCCCACTGAAAGAGGACATTTAATGGGGTTGCACTAGTTGGGGAGCAAAATTTCTGAGAATCTGAGAGCAGGTTCTACATACCTGGATCCAGCGTAGACGCCCCTATGGATAACTGGCACCCCCAATAATTACTTTGTTGTTGTATATCCTCTCAAATACTATCTAGGGGAGGAAATTCATCAGAGGACCATTTGACCAATTCTAATTAGCACAGAGCAAAATTGTACCCAAGTTACTCTTGGCAGTGCCTATCTGAGCCAAATGAACAGACTGCTGTGCAACCAATCCATTCATCTTGGCCATCGTAACAATCAACACGGATCTTTGTTAAACTGACTTAGGTTCTTTTTCTCCCTCCCTAAGATACAATATTTCTCAGACATCTTTTTTTGTCACATCATTTTACTTTTCTGAAGACTTCAGTGTTTCTCAATTACATCATAGAAGGAAATAGACAAAACTGTTGTCCCTCCACCTTCCAAAATAGGTAAAACATAATGATCATTCATTCACCCTACCTTAGTGGATTTCTTTCTTCTAGAAGTTTCCACGCTTATTTATTAGTACCCTAGAATGCAAAACATAGCCCGTCTGAGAATTTGCCCAAGAAACATAGCTATCATATTTCCTGAATCAAAAATTGGTTCACATGGTGTGGGGATAATAGAATTGAATATTTCAAATTGAGTTTGATAAAAAAAAAAAGCTGGGAGGTTTGGCTGTTGTAGCTCAAAGGTGCCTTCTGAGTAGCGCCCTTCTGGTAACCCTTACTTCCCCTGCCCTCCTCCCCTCCAGGAAAACCAACCTCAATGTAAAGCAACTGTCACAATACATCTCTGAGAGCCCTGCTTTCTGCTGTCTATCGTACAAATTGCTCACCTCAACTCAGGATTTAATCTCTTAATATAATCTTCTGTCAAACTGCTCGGAACAAGCTGATTATGTATATAACTTGGTCTTTTTTTTCACCCATTCATCTTTCCAGCAGTCTTTCTCAAAGTTTGTTCTGAGTAACATCTAATAAGAAATACCTGGAGAACTAATGAGAAATGCAGACCCTATGCCTCATTCCAGATCTACTGAGTTAGAAGTTGGGGGAGTGAGACCTAGGAATCTGTAATTTAACGAGTTCCTTGGGTGATTTTTACAGACCAAAGCACACACGTTGTGTAGTTTTATCTTAGTTGTGTTGTTTGCCTTCTTCCATTTAGCTGCGGGGGGGGCGGGTCTCAGTATTGAGTTGCAACCAATCAAAAGCAGGCGTTGCATACTTCTCCTTTAATACAGACGGGACCATTCTCGGTTGTAGTTATCAGAATGAAATCTTAGCAAGAAAATACAACATGAATAGTCAAAATAAGTGTCATAACATAAAACACGCTTCTGTCCAGGGAGATCACTGCCTTATTCAATCTGCTGGCTTCACCTACAGATACTATCGAGAGACGGCAGACTGAAAGACCCCAGATCATCTCTACTTAAGGTTGGCCATGTATGGGTATCTCTCAAGCAGTTACCCCTGCTCCAAGAATGCATGCATTAGGTGATAAGCATAGACTGATTTATGATCACTCAATATCGGAAAGGTGTAGCATTCCATTTCACAAATGGTATTCTGCTAGATTAGAAAGTATCATAAACACATTGAAAATCCCCAGCCCAGGAACCATAAACCACTGTATTTTTTTCCCCACTTTTTAATTTAACTATGTGTTTTGGATTACATAAATAACTATGAGCCTATATTTTCTTTATAAAATAAATCAGTCTCTCTACATAGGAATCACTAGTTAGATTGAATATTAGGGCATGTATAAAATTGCATGTTTAAAAGACACGAAAACATTTCTCAATGAGAGAGAAGCTGCTCACAGGTGACCTTCATGTCGAACAGTGGGGGGGGGAGGGGTCAGCACTGCCACTAAATCATTTTGATTCACAGATGAGATCAACATATTCATATTTGTTTGCCAAATGTGTATTTTAATTTAGGCTTTTCTGATTGATGCGTGTAATTTATGCTGCCCAGAACTAAGGCGTCATATTTTTCTTTTTTCCTAACTAACAGGGGGAGACTTTCTTGGAAACAGATAAAGGAAAGAGTCCAGTAATTTGTAGCAATGTGACTACAGCCACACATGTCCTAGAATTAATGTTCTTCATTAGGATGAGTAGGATCAGCTGTATGTATACATCAGGTTTTTAATTAACTCAGTCCCCACAACAGGATTCATGATTCAAACTGTTAGCGTTTTTTTCTTAAATCACAAAATAAAAAAATTGGGTGGCACATCTTTTTTACATGCGAAAAAAAAAAAGGAAAGGATGCTCAGAGAAATCAAAGGCTCTTTGTATTATACTGAGAGTGCTCAGAAGATCTGTATAATCCTGTGTAAATCAGCTAAAGGAGAGCTTGGCATTGAGTGATTCCAAAGGGATGGTGAAAACTCGACCATTGTGACAGTTTCCTCTCTGTAGAATAGATACGATTTCAGTTTATTTGTATTGATGTCTTTAACTAACATTTGGAATTTGTTAGATATTTTTAACTGCCTTGTTCTTGCAGAACTCACCTAGTGATATTTTAATAAGACACCGCCAGTTTAAAGAAACTTCAATAAGGCAACATGAGGAGCTTAAGTGAGGGGTGAGGGGAAAAACTTTTTATAGCAGCTTCATTCTCTGAGATCATATTAACATAAATTTGACAGTTAATCTCCATATTGCAAAAAGGCTGCCCAGACTTATTTAATTAAACTTAGAACAAATATGTTTCTTTATTTGCCAGGTACAGCTTTTATCTTAAAATATCCACTTCCAATTATGATGCAAGATTACGGTTTAGGGCAGGAGCATGGGGCAGGGGATGGTAAGACCAGAGCCGATGGAGGGATGTGCAGTTACGTAGAGATCCTGGCTGCTGATGCCTGATGCTCCTGGCACCCATGATCCCGAAGAATTCTACGAGAGATGCTGATCATTTGTAAAAGTTATTTCTTTGCTTCAGATTTCAAATGACAGAATTAAAATTTGATTGAGATATTTTTCCCAGACACATTTAAAATCTATTCTTTAATAAATGTTTGCTGGATAGATGTCCAAACTATTTATCCAAAAAACTACGGAAGAATGAGCCTCCTTTGACATCAGGAGGCACTGAATTTATACTTCGGATCCATTCCGTATTGAACAGCAAATGATTTAACCTTTATGAATCTTGGGTGCCTCTTCTGCTGAGATTATCTCATAATTTTTGGTGAGGAGGAAATATGATTCATTCATTTGAAAAATATTTATGGGACACCTTCCTTGTGTCAGTCCCTCTTCTGAGCAGTAGTGAACAAAGTAATATTCCTGCTTTCCTGGAGCTTACATTCTAGTGGAGGAAACAGATAGATAAATGGATTCTATAATGTCAGGCAGTTTTAAATTCCATGAAGCAGGACTGCAGAATAAGATTAAGGGTGGTGGCAGTGGGAAGTTGATATTCAGATAGCGGTGGGAAAGGTCTGACAAAGGGACGTTTGAGCAGAATGGATGGGAGTGAGAAAGCAAAGCCTGAGAATTAGGGGGGAAGAGAGCTCCAGGCAGAGGAAAAGTAAGCTCAGAATTGCTGACTGGGAGCTGACTTTGCTTACTGAAGTAACAGCCGGGACAGGAGTGGGTGAGCATTGAGTGGGAGGAAACGAGGTTTAGCAAACCTGACTCCAGGCTGACTTTCTCACCTCCTTTCCCACCACCCCTCGTGGAATTCAGTCCCACTCCCTGATGGGATGCCATTGAAAGACTGATGGCAGGGAAGTGACAGGATCCGTTTGCATTTTACAAACATCATTTAGGCCGCTGTGTGGAGCACAGACTTGTAATACGGCCGGGGCGGGAGGAGAACAGGAAAGACAGATGTAAGAAATGATTGCTATTTTTTTAGACAGGACATTACGGTGGCTAGGGCTGTGGTAAGAAGGATGAAGGAGATAAAATTGATCATTTCAGGATATATTTTGAAGGTAGAACTGACGGGATTTGCTAACGGATTGGATCCCGTTCCTCTTGGACAAGCTACACAAGTAAAGATTATATTTACCTAAGGTCACTCTGCTACAAAGTAAACCAATAAGAACACCAAATGGTTTCAGAAATACAGCAAACAGGCAAGCCTTCTCGAGAGGCAATAGTATGGTTGGGTATCGCACAGGACTTGTCCCATTGTTACAGAGACGTAGAGGCGATAGAAAGCCTCAGCCTTTTGTTAACTGTGTTAGTATCCTGAAGTACCGTGAAACATTTGGAAAACCCCTGCAGGGGTTCCGATGTACGTACACACTCGTTGAGGTAACATATGTGCCCCCCCTCCGCCCACTGAACCAACAAAAGCAGCCATCTAAAAGCAGGGACAATAACATGGAAAGAACACGATGGTGGAAGTACTCTTCTCTGCTACTCAGGTAGAAATAAGAGGTCAGATCAACCCAGTGGAATTTTCACACCAACAGAGCATAATCCTCCATGTTACAAACCCCAGGAGAACAAGACTGTCTATTCTTCATACCATCAGGGACTACTTCATGCTACATGGCCATTAATATTTGTTGAAATGAACAGAAGTGAAAAATACTAGGGCTTTTCAGGAATAAAACAACTTTCAGATATCCAGCCTCTACAAGCAACATTTTGGGTTTTGGTGAGACTTGAAGTAATTGCCATTTACCAGTTACAGATACAAAACGTTTGTGGTCTTTATTCCTCTCAATAAAACGTCCTTCTGTCATATCATAGCCTGGGCACTTGACAATTTGGTACTATTGCCAATCAACTAGGATGCCCAGTTTCCACATTTCTCAGTGTGGCCAAAAGAATAACTTGAACCCTTCATACCACAAATGTGTCCGGCACATGGCTTCCGTTATAATAAGTCTGGTCATCTGTCAAAAGTGGAGAGCAGGAGGTTGTAACCCTGAGGAAAGAAGATGTACTAGAGGGAGGTAAGTGTCTCCATACAAGACACGAGTGGGCTGGTCGTGAACTTGGCTGCCGACACCCTGGAAACGGACTGCTGAGTTGTAGATTTTCTACTCCTTATTCCCATATAGTGTACCCCCAACTTCTGACTCTCTTCTCTATTGAGTTTCAAGCCCCCAGGAATACTCCATCATACAGGAGATTGACTGAGTAGTTTTCTGGGGACTTCTTAGCCTCCTTCAGAGAAACTGGGAGGAGTAAAGAGAGAGAATTTTCTCCTTTTCCTTGAACAATATTGAGCCATTGTGTCTTGAGAATGTAGAAGAGGATGGTAGAATATAAGAATCAAGAATAAGTTAACTTTCCCCCTTAGAATAACATCCAAAATAATATATTTATTAGTTTCTCACCAATTGGTGAGATATAAAATCAAAATTATGATCATACTCTGGGCAAATAAAAGGTATGTTACCTTTTGTAACATATACCACTTCACATTTGACAGAGTAATTTTACATGCATTTACTTGTTTGATAAGGGTAGACGGGATAGAAATTGTTTCTGAACGAGTTATAGATATCAAATATGCTCATCCAGACTCAGTGATTT